ATCCATGCTTCTCGCATGGACAACTGTATGTGGCTGGCTCACGCGTCAGAAATTCTGATTTATTCGTGTACGCACCAGACGGAAAAACAAAAAATATCGTGTATCCACAAGCACTCCAATAAATAAATAGAATTGAAACGACACTTTGAAATGTTTTTCCAATGAAAATTAATAATAATAATAATAATATAATAAGTTTCAATAAAAATGATAAAATGAAAATTGAATTTTATCATAACGAGTTTGCTTGAATTTCCTTTCTTCTGAGATCGCAGCAATGCGCGACAGGTAAGCTAGTATATTCATAAATAACTATTAGATAATACTGACAATTTATAATTTACATAAATAAATTATTATTTTGACTGCTATTAGATAAATATTAAACACATGAACAATTTCTAAACTGCTGATGAATTATTTATAGGTTATTTAAACATTTCAAAAATAAATAAGGAAACTTGATTTCTGATAATTGAAGAATTTGATATGCAAGAATTTATCAATAATTTTTTTTAATAGAAAGGTTCGAATTGTGCCTCCTGTGACTAAAAAAAGAAAGTCTGTAATGTGGATGGAAATGCTTCAGGAAGAAGAAAATATTATGTACTTGAGTAATCCATATTTAACTGAGGTATAATATTCTACTATATTAAGATAATCTAACTAAAAATACTTTGGTATATTAGATACATCAAACACACCTTCTTGCTGAGAAACATATATTTATTACCCACAACTAACGTTTTCGGCTGAATTTATGGGCCATCTTCAGGTTTACTGTTGTTCGATTCTAATACACAACCGAACACGTTCAAAATTAAACCAAATTAGAACATGCGTTTAAATTTAACCAATAGAATAAGCATAACCAAACTAAAACAATAAATAAAATACCAAACTAACAGAAAAATGAAAAATGAAAAATAAAAAATAAAATACGGTGTTAAGCCGCAAACAATAAGGAACAATTCCTAATACATTAACCCAGATATCTATTGAGTCACTGTAGACGCATTATTACTCGTGTTACTTCTTACTATATATTTCCAGGATGACGGTAATACCGTCGCATCTTTATAATTTAAACATCTGTCAGCCAAACTCGCTCTGTAAATTTCACATTTCTCAGTTATGGATGACAACGTTGGCGAGCGTACTTTTGTAAGAATTTTGGCATCCTCCCATTTAACAATCGAACCATCCGCTTGCGCCATTTTGGATAATGCTGTTGTACACTTGTTTTTTGCGACATCGTATCGGTGCTCCTTAATTCTCACCCTAAGGTTTCTATTAGTGACCCCAACATAGTCCTTATCGATTCCCAACTGGTCATTTTTGTAGGGAATTGCATAAACTCCTGCCTGTTCGTTATCATCAATTCTTTCTTTGTCATTTCTAATCAACCTATACACTGTGGGGGCCCTTTTATATATTATACTGGCGTTTTTGTGCCTCGCTATTTGCTTCATAATCGGGAAGAGACATTTATTATAGGTAAACCTTGCGAAGTTACCCCCAGCTTCCGGTTTCTTCTTAGAGCTGCTCTTAGGTTTTACGTACGCTTCTATTAAACGTTCTATAGATCTTACTCCAAACCCTAACTCCTTTGCAACTTTTTTGATCCTACACAACTCATTCATGGTGTCTATTACATTTGAGCAATAGAGAAACGCTCTTCTGATTAGCGCTCTAAATGCGGACAGCTTATAAACCGTTGGGTCATTAGAATTTGCCGGAATATACATAGGATCATGCGTGGGCTTAATGTAGATCTTCGTACATAAAGCTCCATTCTTAAATTCAATGCTGACGTCCAGGAAGTGCAGCTCCTTGTTACTAATTTGCTCCAGGTTAAGTTTTAAGCCATGTTGGTTAGAGTTCACTTGGCATAAGAATCGTTTTATCATTGCGTCATTCTTCCAAATAATTAGAACATCATCTACATATCTTTTGTACATGATTATGTACTCATTATAGTTGATAAGCGTCATGCTTTCTAATTTTCTCAGCACCAACTCACAGAGTAGGCCAGACATCGGGCTGCCCATCGGGACTCCCCTTAACTGCTTATAAACTTTACCTTGGAAAATGAAAAACGACTGAAAGCATATCAGATCAACCATTATCTCTAAATCTTTCTTGTGTTCGTATGCTTTTGGTTGTAACTCACATAACAGGTTCACTAATTCCTGAAAACACGAGGTAAGATTTATTGATGGAAACATACTTTCGAAATCCATAACTGTCCCAATCTCATTGTCCATTAACGACAGATCCTGCAGGTCTTTAACCAAACTAAACGGGTCCTTTGTAACAAATTGGTAGTTTTCAATTAGTTGTGTTAAATGCCTATGCATACGTTTTTCCAGAATGTATGTTGGTCCTTTACACTTCTCTACTACCGGTCTGATCTCTTTACTGTTTTTATGTGTCTTTGCGAACCCAAACAACCTAGGTACACTTGGGCAGGTGATGTGGGCTCCTTTTAGGAAAGGGAATAACGATGCTATGGGCGATTTTTCCAATCTTCTTAGTTTTCTGTCAACTCTTTCAACAATGCCTCGGTCTACCTCTTCACACTCCGTTTTCTTTATATAGTCATCCAGGGCTTCAATGTACCTTTGTTTCTTCATTAGGACCAAATGTTTACTCTTATCTGCCCTAGTGACCACTATATCATTGTGATTCAACCATTTTTTAGCTTGGTTGATGCTCAATTCTTTACCTTGCCTCATAGAGTGTTTTTCAGTTTTGAATGCCGTCTTCCATCTGTAATAGTCCTTATCAACCTCACACATACCTACGATTCCTCTTTCTACTTCCGCTACTACGCCCCTCCAGTTCCTAGTGTTGTCAGGAGCATAATTAGGACCTTTTTCCAGAACTTGTTTGACACATTGCGGGAGTTGAATCTGATCCCATAATATATACGGGGTTGGCTTCAAAATGCTCTTAAGCTTGGACGGCTGCTTTTTCGAAATCCACAGCAGTTTCTTCATGTATTTCTTCTTTAAACTAATGCTTAACCGGTCCGTTAACCCAACTACTCTTAAATTGATACTCGCCAAGATATCTGGGTTCTTTTCGAATATGTCATCTTCCAGGTCCACTATTTCTTTAATGGTTCTGTACTTTAAATTCTTTACTCGTTTAATTGAATTATTTAAGCATAGCAGTTTTACTCTTTCCCGTATTGATATACATTCATTAGGTAACTTAATTCTAAAAATGGACATTGGATAAACTTTTCTTACTCGACATTCTTTCAAGAATTGTAATCTGGAGTTCATCTTCACAATTTTTACTGCTAGTTTTCTATAACTTCTATATAGACAGGCCGGTGACGCCATAATTAACCACTTAATCCGACTCAGCCTCTTATGCAAAATATTAGATACATTAGATGGAAGATGACATATTCGAAAAGAACCCAGATATCTTGGCGAGTATCAATTTAAGAGTAGTTGGGTTAACGGACCGGTTAAGCATTAGTTTAAAGAAGAAATACATGAAGAAACTGCTGTGGATTTCGAAAAAGCAGCCGTCCAAGCTTAAGAGCATTTTGAAGCCAACCCCGTATATATTATGGGATCAGATTCAACTCCCGCAATGTGTCAAACAAGTTCTGGAAAAAGGTCCTAATTATGCTCCTGACAACACTAGGAACTGGAGGGGCGTAGTAGCGGAAGTAGAAAGAGGAATCGTAGGTATGTGTGAGGTTGATAAGGACTATTACAGATGGAAGACGGCATTCAAAACTGAAAAACACTCTATGAGGCAAGGTAAAGAATTGAGCATCAACCAGGCTAAAAAATGGTTGAATCGCAATGATATAGTGGTCACTAGGGCGGATAAGAGTAAACATTTGGTCCTAATGAAGAAACAAAGGTACATTGAAGCCCTGGATGACTATATAAAGAAAACGGAGTGTGAAGAGGTAGACAGAGGCATTGTTGAAAGAGTTGACAGAAAACTAAGAAGATTGGAAAAATCGCCCATAGCATCGTTATTCCCTTTCCTAAAAGGAGCCCACATCACCTGCCCAAGTGTACCTAGGTTGTTTGGGTTCGCAAAGACACATAAAAACAGTAAAGAGATCAGACCGGTAGTAGAGAAGTGTAAAGGACCAACATACATTCTGGAAAAACGTATGCATAGGCATTTAACACAACTAATTGAAAACTACCAATTTGTTACAAAGGACCCGTTTAGTTTGGTTAAGGACCTGCAGGATCTGTCGTTAATGGACAATGAAATTGGGACAGTTATGGATTTCGAAAGTATGTTTCCATCAATAAATCTTACCTCGTGTTTTCAGGAATTAGTGAACCTGTTATGTGAGTTACAACCAAAAGCATACGAACACAAGAAAGATTTAGAGATAATGGTTGATCTGATATGCTTTCAGTCGTTTTTCATTTTCCAAGGTAAAGTTTATAAGCAGTTAAGGGGAGTCCCGATGGGCAGCCCGATGTCTGGCCTACTCTGTGAGTTGGTGCTGAAAAAATTAGAAAGCATGACGCTTATCAGCTATAATGAGTACATAATCATGTACAAAAGATATGTAGATGATGTTCTAATTATTTGGAAGAATGACGCAATGATAAAACGATTCTTATGCCAAGTGAACTCTAACCAACATGGCTTAAAACTTAACCTGGAGCAAATTAGTAACAAGGAGCTGCACTTCCTGGACGTCAGCATTGAATTTAAGAATGGAGCTTTATGTACGAAGATCTACATTAAGCCCACGCATGATCCTATGTATATTCCGGCAAATTCTAATGACCCAACGGTTTATAAGCTGTCCGCATTTAGAGCGCTAATCAGAAGAGCGTTTCTCTATTGCTCAAATGTAATAGACACCATGAATGAATTGTGTAGGATCAAAAAAGTTGCAAAGGAGTTAGGGTTTGGAGTAAGATCTATAGAACGGTTAATAGAAGCGTACGTAAAACCTAAGAGCAGCTCTAAGAAGAAACCGGAAGCTGGGGGTAACTTCGCAAGGTTTACCTATAATAAATGTCTCTTCCCGATTATGAAGCAAATAGCGAGGCACAAAAACGCCAGTATAATATATAAAAGGGCCCCCACAGTGTATAGGTTGATTAGAAATGACAAAGAAAGAATTGATGATAACGAACAGGCAGGAGTTTATGCAATTCCCTACAAAAATGACCAGTTGGGAATCGATAAGGACTATGTTGGGGTCACTAATAGAAACCTTAGGGTGAGAATTAAGGAGCACCGATACGATGTCGCAAAAAACAAGTGTACAACAGCATTATCCAAAATGGCGCAAGCGGATGGTTCGATTGTTAAATGGGAGGATGCCAAAATTCTTACAAAAGTACGCTCGCCAACGTTGTCATCCATAACTGAGAAATGTGAAATTTACAGAGCGAGTTTGGCTGACAGATGTTTAAATTATAAAGATGCGACGGTATTACCGTCATCCTGGAAATATATAGTAAGAAGTAACACGAGTAATAATGCGTCTACAGTGACTCAATAGATATCTGGGTTAATGTATTAGGAATTGTTCCTTATTGTTTGCGGCTTAACACCGTATTTTATTTTTTATTTTTCATTTTTCATTTTTCTGTTAGTTTGGTATTTTATTTATTGTTTTAGTTTGGTTATGCTTATTCTATTGGTTAAATTTAAACGCATGTTCTAATTTGGTTTAATTTTGAACGTGTTCGGTTGTGTATTAGAATCGAACAACAGTAAACCTGAAGATGGCCCATAAATTGAGCCGAAAACGTTAGTTGTGGGTAATAAATATATGTTTCTCAGCAAGAAGGTGTGTTTGATGTATCTAATATTTTGTATAAGAGGCTGAGTCGGATTAAGTGGTTATACTTTGGTATATTACAGTAATTTTTTAACATTACAATAACAAATTTTTGGCTTGTATGTATTTTCTTAACTATTTAAATGATAATTCTGATGATATAAAGCTAGGTTTCCACATGCAATGATTATTGGGGTCCACTCAAGTTTTTTGTAACTGCCAAAAAGTATACCTGCTATATACTTTAACTCAGTGTTTTTCAACCTTCTTGAATACGCAACCCCTTTACAAGTTAAAAAATTCTGGCGACCCCCCAGGGCCATATTAAAATTATATCAGTGATTTTAAAAACTATGTATTTAATTTTATTTCTGTTAAGACCTAAATATTAATTGAAAAACCAATTGTACTGTAAAATAAACAGATACAGCCTTCTCACTGAAATTGTAGTTTTCTTTATTGTAGTGTAGGACCTACAAACACTTGTCTTTTTCTTTTACCCGCGACCCCCCGCGTAAGGCTTTGTGACCCCCCTGGGGGTTGCGACCCACAGGTTGAAAAACACTGCTTTAACTGATACAATAATTATTGGTACCAGTCAAGTGATATCACCTAAATTTGCATATTTCCACATGCAAATAAACTGGTGCCAATAATCATTGCATATGGAAACCTAGCTTAAGAATTGTCACTGATTTTCTTGTTCAGTTTTAAAAGAATAGTTGTTGGTTAAATTAAAATACAAACTATAAGGTGGACATAAAGTGTTTTCCTTATAAATTTTATTGAACAACTATTAACATATTTTTGTGGATTGTCTGCCATTTGGTCTATGTGGGGAGACAACAAAAGCAGATATTTCCATATGTTAAAAATTGGCATGCTGGTTTATTCCATGGGAATGCCAGTTTACATGAGGTTATACATTCCTCTCTAGAGGGCACATGAAAAACCGAATGAGTTTTTATTCTAAAACTGTGAAACTATCAGCATTGCATCGAAAATTATGATTATGTTTAATTAATCATTTTGTCATCTTTCTAACGATAATGATGTAAAATACTCATGGAATGCTGAAAATGCTTTTCTTATGTTTATTTTCTTGTAATTCAATTTGAAAATGCAACAATAAGCATATTAAATTTCAGAAACTGTAAATTATCTCAACTTATAATGATTAACATCCACTTTGTGTGAAATTTGAGGTGGTTTTATTTTTAAGGTCAGGGTAGGTGGTCAGTGCAGCCCACTGACCTACACCTACTACTACTATTACTACTACTACTACTGTCAATTGTTTTATCATCCTGTAAATGAACTCTCTCTTCTCAATTTTAAGTCATTCAAATTAGAATGTTGTTATTTTTTTGTACTTGGAAGAATGTTTTCTTTAACATTTCATTAACAACTAGTTTTGTTACATCTGATTAATTTTATTTTTTAGTCATAGTTTAATCAGCATGCCAGAAACCTCAGGGTTACTTTCATGCTGGCCATTCTGCAAAAATACAGTACATTTATAATAGAATGTAAGGCAAGATATGAAGTTTTTTAATGTGTTAATAAACTTCCACCTGTATACTCTGACCTTGAGTCATCTAATCAATATTCAATTTTTTGCCAAACTTTAAGGTGACCATATACTTTATTGATCTCAAGCAGCATATGAAACATAGTCATCTGAACCAGGAGTCTCAAGCTCAAATGCAGCAAAGGGCCAGTCAAATACATGTGTATCAGACAGGTTGTAATCAATATTATTTGGTAAATCAAAAAAGCTCTATCAAAGGCCCTTTTATTGCCAGGCTCTTATGACTTAACTAAACAGTTAAATGCTTGAATTTTTCCTGTTTTAATCCCAACATGATGTTTTCAACATCTTGTTGGGATTAAAACAGGAATTTTTGGAAATTTCATAATTTTTGTGTGATGATAATCATTTAAAATTTTTGGAAATCATCAAGGCTGCCAGTTATGAATCCTTAATGGGCTACATCAAGCCCATGGCTGCCAGTTTGAAGCCCTTGATCTAAACTCATACATTTATGTTTGCAAAATTCTATCCTTATCATAAATCACATCATGACATTATTTTTTATTTCACAGCAGTTTGATGAGTTATGTCAAAACTTGATTAAATTAAACATTTTATTTAAATATTTGAATTTGTCTTACTTACTTACTTAATTGGTACACATCAGTATATATTATTATTTATTAAATATATGTAATAATTTTCAAAATTTTTTGATTTTGAAATTAGCCTTATTAATATTACTTTTAATGTTTAAAACAACATAGTAACATTTATTGCCAGGCTTAGGAATGAAATTATTTCACTGTGATGATTTTTCTGTACTGTATTGATATTCAAAAATATAGATATATTATCCTTTTTATCAAAAAGTTTGTTTATACTGTATTTACTTTCCAGTTATTATGATCTGAATATTAATTTAAAATTTTGTTTTCAAATTTTATTTTTCAGACTGCTTATTTATTAAATAACTTTATTTTACTTGTACTTAATTATTTCATATAAAATTAAAAATAGTTTCTTTAATTGAATATTTAACTTAGGAACAAGAAAAAGGATACATGGAAGCTTTGGGTAAAGAAGAATTTTGGCACTACATGCTTGTTAAAGAGAAGAAATTTTTGGAAAATAGATTTATTGAAGATCATTTAAGTCATATGAATGTTTCTAGAAGTTGGGAATGAATTATTTGTAAATAGATAGCCATTGAATGAGTGAATAATAAATAAATTAAGTTATTTTTAACTTTATATATATTTTTATTAAAAAAATTAATGGAAACAGAGAAATATGACAGGAAAAAATACATTTGAAAATAAACAAACTGATAGTTCCTTCTGAATACTTGTCTTTCCCTTTTATATTTCATTACATTTAGTAATTTCATCAAATATGAAATTATTTCACCACTTTCATTTTTTAAATTCTGACTTTTAAAAGTTTGTATTTTTAATATTCCACGGTTAATTATTTTTTGTAATTGCAATTTTATATATAATGATACTTTAATAGCTCAGAAATAAACTATACATACTTCTGATAGTGCTAATTGGCATGCTTTGATGATACAGATTGAATATTCCCAATTCAAAACATTTCAAAATCCATAATTATTTTCACAGCATGGAGACCTTTAGCATAGGACTCACTGTAACTTGAAAGATGATGCAATAGTGTCTGCAAAACTGTTGTAAGGAACCAAATCCGAGCATTATTTTTATTTACTTTTATTTTGCTTTTTATTATATTTTTGTTTGGGGCTTATGTTTTGTTAGGACGAAGGTTTCCTCACCATTCACCTTAGAAACTTAAGAATAGAAGAGAAACCAACTCACCGAGAGAAAAGCGCCGTAGAAAAAACTCGCGCACACTTGCGCTCCCGAGCAGAAAAAAGTAAGTCCGCACCGAGAAAAGGGGGGAGACCCCACAAGCACAACTTGGGGACTCGCTAAACCTTAAAGAATAAAAACATCCTGAAAATTGTCAAAAAGAATAATGTAAAAGGTTAGCAAGTATTGTTGGAAAATAGGCTGCCAGACAAATAGAAAAAGTTTATTGTTAGCAAATAAGTATGTAAATGAGGGGAGTGATCGCATTCAGAGTTGTGACGTCACCTCACAGTATAAAGTCCGAATCTCAAGTGAAGATGGACGAGGTGAGCTTCTGTTAGCAACAAGCTTGGTGAGCTTCGTAGCAGCCAACGAGAGAGAGGTGTTCGATAGGATAAAGTAGTTCCAAGGCGATTTTGAAGTTATTTGATTTGTGGATCGAAGATTAGAGAAAGTCTTGAGAGTTGAGGAAATAGTTGAGGTGATGATTAGGATCTTTAATTCATAAGAATTATTGTATATAAGTTAAGTCTTTGAAATTTTGTCGAATTCCAAAGGGGAATAGAATTAAGTTAGAAAATAGATTGATTTGAGTTTTGTCGGGTTGATTCTTATTGAGTTTCATTGAATAAATTGTTACTTGNTCCCCCATCTGATGGGTTCAGCTATGTGGTGTATGAGTCTCGACAGGCTGACCAGCAACTATGCACCTATCCTACTTTCACTAACTTTCCCAGGTAAAAACTACCTGCATGCTCATCCACGCTGCTGTCACACCACGAACTGGAATGGCTACTCTGCAAGGACAGCACAACTCTGGCTTCCAGATGGGCCCAATCCACTTTGTACAGCTCTTTCATCTGCCAGCTAAGAGAGGTGGAAGTGGAATACATGGTGATGTTCTCCCTCCACCATTAGGGGCAACCACCATGGTGGACACTGGAATGTAGCCAAATCAGGGCCAGGAAGCATCGAGCCTTCCAGAAAGCCAGGCAATCAGCGTCACACATCTGGTGGGACAAGTACAATCAACTGGGAGTGCTACTCCAGCAGAAATCTTGCCAGTCTTGTTGGGAGTGGTGGGGTCGCTGTGTGCCTCCCTCCCTCCCAGGCCACTTTCTATTGCATATTTTGTCGTTTGCAAGCCCCCAAAGCCTAAGGCTACCCATCACATAATCCAGTTCACCACCACGCTAATTTTTCCAAAACAGCAAGCAGAAACTCTAGCTATCTATTTCACATGAACCCTCCTGACAAGAGCTTTTGCCCCACCTCCGAACTCCCTGCTGAGGGACGGCATGAGCTGACAATGGACCCTTTCACATCCTGGAACTCTGGCGAGCACTCTGCAGTCTGTGCAACTCAATGCCAGGCCTGGATGGGTGCATGGGTCCCTGCAGGTTCTCCTGCAAGTGGGACTCTGCCCTCCTCAATCTCTTAAACTGAGCCTAGTCCTCAGGGGCAAGCCCCCTGAGTGGAAGACAGCACAAGTTATACCGATTCTCAAACCAGACTGCCTGGCAATGTCTTGTGCATTGTATCAACCAGTTTTGATAACAGCACATGTGGCCAAGCTATTTGAATGAATGGTAATTTTGGTACTTTGAAACCGTGCTAGTAGTTATTAGTAGTAATTCAAACACAAATTATTATTGTATTTATTTTCAGGCACTTGGCAATTTTTATCATCAAATTTTATTTAGTTGATACGTGTTGATATTATTTACACACGTTTCGGGCATTTATTGCCCCTCCTCAGCCAACTTTTTAATTTACAGGTTATCAAGATATTAAAACCACAAATTTCCATCGCCTATGTTTACTTGTTGTTATGGAATTACAAAAACTTCTTGGCCCTTAACACATTTTAATCTTGCAGTTTTTCTCTGTAATTGTTGTTGTTTTGTTGACCCTTATCCATTTTTTGATAATTGTTGCCGTTTCAGCTTCGGAATTCTTATTCTGGTATTTTGAAACCATGCTAGTAGTTATCAGTAGTAATTCAAACACAAATTATTATTGCAAAATACCAGAATAAGAATTCCGAAGCTGAAATGGCAACAATTATCAAAAAATGGATAAGGGACAACAAAACAACAACAATTCAACTAAATAAAATTTGATGATAAAAATTGCCACGTGCCTGAAAGTAAATTCAATAATAATTTGTGTTTGAATTACTACTAATAACTACTAGCACGGTTTCAAAATACCAGATGTGAATCATTTATAGATGAACCCAGAAAAGAATTTGCTATACTGATGATTTTTGTGTAGAATGACAATCAGTGAACCATCAATTTTTATGAGTTCCTGCTAGTAAGAATTATGATTTAAAACAGTTCAACTGTATTATTTCATTAATCTCTAATCAATCAGTTTTAATATATTTATATTAGGATATTATTAAGAAGAATTTATTTTGGGAAAATTAATAGCTTTTTCATATTTTTAAAATTGTTACATTAAAGAGCAAATTTTTATATGATTATTCTGTTTTGTAAAGTTCAAACATCTGATAGTGAAATCTTATTTATCATTACACAATACTGTAGTTTACTTATTACAAGCATTGAAAAATAACAAAGATTAATTTAAAAAATTTTTTTTAAATAAACAGAAAGTCTGGCTATCATTTAAATCCACTCTTTCATAAAATTAAAACATCAATTTGATTCATCAGAATTCTTTACATTTTATTTTAAAACTTTTTAAAATATTTTGATAAATTTGATAATCTGCTTTAGATAATAATTTTGTATTCAACTTGTGAAAATGATTTACTGCCAAATTCTTTAACATGATAAAAATAATTTTGAAGTTAAAAATTATTATAAATTATTTTTTTGAAAACGGAGTGGAAGTTGATCCTCTAGAAGCAAAATAGCTGGTAATATCCAATCTGGGAACATTATCCATATAATTCTTGAAAGCAGAATACAACTCTGAAGCTCTATTAAGTTCTTCTTGCTGTTTATTTTGTAATTCAGTTTCTTTTTTTTGTAATATATCCTTCAGAGTATTAATTTGATAATCTTTATTAGCAATATTTTCTGAATATTGGTTTTGAAGATCTGAAATATATAAATAATTAGAATAGAAAAAAAATGTAAGAAAGTTATTAAGAAACACTTACTATTGAGGGTGGTTTCTAATTCCAAAACTTTACTCTGTAAATTATTATTGTTATCTTTTTCTTTCATTAACTCATTATGTTTATCTCGGTTTTCTGTTTCTGAAGTAGTAACTATATTTCTTAATTCACTTTCTTTAGAAGCTAATTGCTATAAAACAAAAGCAATATAGAAATATGTTTTATATATTATTGAAATTCTTAAATCATCAATAAGGCATTTAATAATTGAGGCTAAGTATTAGCAAAATCTCTTCCACACAGAATTGCCACTAAGCCAAAAGTATAAAAAATGAGGGCTGTGACTGTCACTTTGACTCCACTGTATATCAAAACAATGTCCCACAGAAAAAAAAGGGCATTGCTTGCACCTAATAGAGAATGGGTGCCAAAAACAAACAAGCAGTTGACAAGTGAATGCAAGGATTGCCTCTTCTGGACCCAGCAGATGCAAAGATTGTCCCTTTCTTTCTGGCAAGTGCAAGGATCACATCTCCATTGCCAACAAGTGTATGGATTGTCTTCTTATGTTAAGAACAACTATTTTTTTCCTGATCACACACTCACTCACTCTTCCCTTCTCAATCTCACACATACCTGAGTGCATAACATGTTTGAATGTGTAAGAGTGCCCTTACACATTCAAACACACGTCAACACTCAAGTTAGATAAAGTGAAAGATAATTTATATATACTAATAGAAATTAAAAAAACCAATGCTCTGCTTCAATTCTATTGCAATATGATAAAGTTGTGTCCTGTCCCTAGTTTATAAAATACATTAAAATTATATTTTAACCTCTTTCAGTTGACTGACTATTTTATGTAGATTTTCTTTTTCTATTTCTAAGTGCTCTTTCACAGACTGTAACTGTGTAATGTCAAATTCCTTCTGGGAGATCACTTTCTACGAAAAATAAATTTTATTTTTAATTATAGTGATTGTTCAATATTAGAATGAATTTATATAAACTCAGGATTACAGTACAATTAAAGTAAAAGATACAGTACAGTAGTAAACAATAAAAAAATATCAATTCTACAAACTATTTTTTTCCAGATGCTTAATATATCTTGGTTTAAGTTAATTGTGTATGAAGTACATTTCTGAAATGTTACTCACTATTTGATCATCATTTTCTTTTTGTAATGTATGGACTTTTTCTGAGAGCTGAGAGCACTGTGCTTCCTAATAATAATTCAAAACAATTATTAGTTTTTATTATTTTTCAAGTAATTTAATTATAAAATTAAATAAAATTTATAACTTGCCATTTCTTCATGAAACTTTAATCTTTGTTGCTGAAGTAGTTCTTCAGTCTTAGTTCTCTCTTCTACAAGTTTTCCATTAAGATGCATTATTTCCTACAATTTAATAACAGAATATTTTATGATTTTACTAATGTTTTATGTAATATATTTTTTTCTTATTAATTATCAGAATTTTTAACATTTTTTTGCAATTTATTTATTAATAATAAATACTGTATTTGAAGATAAATTTATAATTGAAAAATATTTCTTTATAGTGATGTAAAATAGTGATTATGCTAAAATATTGACTCCAGAAATAATCGTGTTCAAATCTATCTCTAGCCAATTGTTCTGAATCTACACAAAATTATTTCTAAATTATTAGTTAATTTCTCATTAAATTTATTGACAGATAAATATACTCATACTCTAAATTTTAACAAAAAAAGCTTGTTTTGTCATTGGTTAGTAAAAACAAAGAAAAAGGATAGCTATAAAATTAAATTTGAGTTATTTTTGGATTATTTTGTAAAAATATAACTTATAAAAAAGTCTCTTCATTTTTATATATCACTTTAAAATCAAACATTATTAAATTTATTTCTACTTTTATTTTATTCTTATATTGTAAAATAGAAATAATTTGATTTTAAAACAGTATAAGAATTTATGTTATTTTTCAGGCAATAGAGCAATATTTGAAAAATATTATTTTGGGTTCTTCTCTCATTTTTCATTTTCCTAAAGCTTTTAACATCTATTATGAAACAGTAAGTGATATTAGTTGAAAGGAGATGAATTTATTCTAAAATTCATTTTATGAATTCCAATATACAGTAGACTCTTGTTAATCTGGCATTACTTGTACAGAGAGGTGTATGATTACTTGAGAGTAAATGGCAACGAATGATGATAGTCCTTCAATATTGATTCATTTTGGAGAGACGGGCAAATAATACAATACTCTGACATGCAATACTGTATACAGAAATGAAACACAAGTAAACAGGAAAACAAGATGTGGACATGGCTAACATTTTCATGAAATTGGAAGCACATAATTGATCACACTGGAGGCTATGCTGGATAATTGAGAGGCCAGATTATTGAGGCCATTGATTTTTATGTAAAAATTGAAAAAAATTTAAAAATTTATGTTTAAATCACTATTATCTATTTTCAGGAGATAAAGTATATTTTAAAATTAAAACATTAATCCAAATAAGTTTAAAGCATATCCAACATAAATTTTCTCTCATATTAATTTAATTATCTCTCTCAAATATGATAATGATGATTGATAAAATTTTTAAGTTTCTTTAAAGTAGTATTTTATGCACTGGATTATAAGATTTAGTTAATTAGAATTTAGAATTAATGAATTAACTGCATTAAATATATATATGTTTTAATTATTATTTTATAAATTAAATCATTGTAGATTCTAGAATGTTAAATTTGCTATAGTTAGTCAATTTGGACAGATTCTATATAATCATTCTACAAGGAAGATTCAAAAAGTAAGTTACATTTCTCCCCAAAGACGGCAGCATTACACAATAAGAGCAAAGCTTGCACAGAAGAGAGTTGAGGTCCATAGCTTCTTGTACAAAAGGCATTGTCTTCTTGTACAGTGGCATTTTCATTTGAGTAACAGCAAGCATTGCTGCATAGTACAAGAACAAAATGGCATGTCAGCTGGAAACTTATTTCAATGTTGAAGTACGCAGAACAGTATGTTTTTTTGTGGGCAAAACGTCACACATATTGTGAAAGGTATGTCTCACATACCTTTCATTGTGAAATATCGACTGTGATGGGCCACATGCAATGTCATGTCCAGCCATAATGAAAGTTCTCTCTTCTACAAGTTTTCCATTAAGATGCATTATTTCCTACAATTTAATAACAGAATATTTTATGATTTTACTAATGTTTTATGTAATATATTTTTTTCTTATTAATTATCAGAATTTTTAACATTTTTTTGCAATTTATTTATTAATAATAAATACTGTATTTGAAGATAAATTTATAATTGAAAAATATTTCTTTATAGTGATGTAAAATAGTGATTATGCTAAAATATTGACTCCAGAAATAATCGTGTTCAAATCTATCTCTAGCCAATTGTTCTGAATCTACACAAAATTATTTCTAAATTATTAGTTAATTTCTCATTAAATTTATTGACAGATAAATATACTCATACTCTAAATTTTAACAAAAAAAGCTTGTTTTGTCATTGGTTAGTAAAAACAAAGAAAAAGGATAGCTATAAAATTAAATTTGAGTTATTTTTGGATTATTTTGTAAAAATATAACTTATAAAAAAGTCTCTTCATTTTTATATATCACTTTAAAATCAAACATTATTAAATTTATTTCTACTTTTATTTTATTCTTATATTGTAAAATAGAAATAATTTGATTTTAAAACAGTATAAGAATTTATGTTATTTTTCAGGCAATAGAGCAATATTTGAAAAATATTATTTTGGGTTCTTCTCTCATTTTTCATTTTCCTAAAGCTTTTAACATCTATTATGAAACAGTAAGTGATATTAGTTGAAAGGAGATGAATTTATTCTAAAATTCATTTTATGAATTCCAATATACAGTAGACTCTTGTTAATCTGGCATTACTTGTACAGAGAGGTGTATGATTACTTGAGAGTAAATGGCAACGAATGATGATAGTCCTTCAATATTGATTCATTTTGGAGAGACGGGCAAATAATACAATACTCTGACATGCAATACTGTATACAGAAATGAAACACAAGTAAACAGGAAAACAAGATGTGGACATGGCTAACATTTTCATGAAATTGGAAGCACATAATTGATCACACTGGAGGCTATGCTGGATAATTGAGAGGCCAGATTATTGAGGCCATTGATTTTTATGTAAAAATTGAAAAAAATTTAAAAATTTATGTTTAAATCACTATTATCTATTTTCAGGAGATAAAGTATATTTTAAAATTAAAACATTAATCCAAATAAGTTCAAAGCATATCCAACATAAATTTTCTCTCATATTAATTTAATTATCTCTCTCAAATATGATAATGATGATTGATAAAATTTTTAAGTTTCTTTAAAGTAGTATTTTATGCACTGGATTATAAGATTNAAACTTTATATATTTTTATTAAAAAAATTAATGGAAACAGAGAAATATGACAGGAAAAAATACATTTGAAAATAAACAAACTGATAGTTCCTTCTGAATACTTGTCTTTCCCTTTTATATTTCATTACATTTAGTAATTTCATCAAATATGAAATTATTTCACCACTTTCATTTTTTAAATTCTGACTTTTAAAAGTTTGTATTTTTAATATTCCACGGTTAATTATTTTTTGTAATTGCAATTTTATATATAATGATACTTTAATAGCTCAGAAATAAACTATACATACTTCTGATAGTGCTAATTGGCATGCTTTGATGATACAGATTGAATATTCCCAATTCAAAACATTTCAAAATCCATAATTATTTTCACAGCATGGAGACCTTTAGCATAGGACTCACTGTAACTTGAAAGATGATGCAATAGTGTCTGCAAAACTGTTGTAAGGAACCAAATCCGAGCATTATTTTTATTTACTTTTATTTTGCTTTTTATTATATTTTTGTTTGGGGCTTATGTTTTGTTAGGACGAAGGTTTCCTCACCATTCACCTTAGAAACTTAAGAATAGAAGAGAAACCAACTCACAGAGAGAAAAGCGCCGTAGAAAAAACTCGTGCACACTTGCGCTCCCGAGCAGAAAAAAGTAAGTCCGCACCGAGAAAAGGGGGGAGACCCCACAAGCACAACTTGGGGACTCGCTAAACCTTAAAGAATAAAAACATCCTGAAAATTGTCAAAAAGAATAATGTAAAAGGTTAGCAAGTATTGTTGGAAAATAGGCTGCCAGACAAATAGAAAAAGTTTATTGTTAGCAAATAAGTATGTAAATGAGGGGAGTGATCGCATTCAGAGTTGTGACGTCCTCACAGTTTAAAGTCTGAATCTCAAGTGAAGATGGACAAGGTGAATTTCTGTTAGCAACGAGCTTGGTGAGCTTCGTAGCAGCAAATGAGAGAGAGGTGTCTGATAGAATAAAGTAGTTCCAAGGCGATTTTGAAGTTATTCGATTTGTGGATTGACGAATAGAGAAAGTCTTGAGAGTTGAGGAAATAGATTCCTAGTATATTGAGGTGACGATTAGGATCTTTAATTCATAAGAATTATTGTTCATAAATTAAGTCTTTGATTTTGTCGAATTCCAAAGGGAAATAGAATTAAGTTAGAAAACAGATTGATTTGAGTTTTGTCGGGTTGATTCTTATTGAGTTTTATTGAATAAATTGTTACTTGATTTTTACTAAATATTGTATATAGTTTATTACTAGAACTTTTATTAAATATTTGATTTTGTTTTTGACAAACTTTGTCATTATTTAATTCGGTGCACGCTTAAAGTCCAGGCCTGGCACACTAACGTGAATCCGCGTAAAGTACCCGTTAGGGAACGGCTATTTCTGGCACACAGTCGTGTCGATAATCATTGGAAAAGTCGGAAAAATAATATAGTACTTTACACTGTGGTACACTATTGTGATTCAGTAAATCATCAAACATTAATTAATTACTGATATCTCATACTGACCTTTTATTTTGTTACATTGTTTATATACATAATTTAAAATGTCAAAACTTTATATAAACATATGTAGCTTGTGCAACTTTAGTTACTTGGGCCATGCATATCTATATACAGTAATACCTCGCCTTACACGATTTTCAAATCTCGTCGATTCGTCTTTTGTTTGAGTGCCACACAACTCTTACTCACTCCCCCCACACTATTCTTCGGCTTACATATTCGGATGTGTTGTGCGGAATCGACACGTAGCTACAGTTTATTTTGTGTTATTTATTTCTGTGTTTGTTATATCTACGGAGACTCAAGAGACTGTATGTGGTGATTTCTTGTAACCGTGAATGAATCAAAAGACGAGATAAGATTAACGAGAACATTTATTAGCTTACTTACATCTGACTTGGATTTTAGACAAATTGCGAAATTATACCCCGACTTACGCAGTTATCGCTCGGTCCCACCTATCGCGTAAGTTTGGGGTATCACTGTAAATAAAAATGTAATGTTCGTTTGTTCAAAATCTTAAATCTCTGAAAGTTCTTCACTAATTGCTTTCAAATTTTGATACAATGTTGCATTCGAATACGTGCATGTTTTTATATTATATAGATGTCGAAATTTCCCCCATGCAGGGGAGACGGACAGGATTAAGGCTTACCATGAAGAACTCGGCTTCTATTATACTATTTTAGATGCAGTTTTTGTGGTTTTGATTGCGTTTTAATAGAGTATGTCAAGAGAATGTACACTAAGAAGAGATTTTTCAAAATTCCCTCCCTCGTGGATTGTTATACATTTATAATAGATACATTTTGAGCCACAGCAACACGTGGCTGGGTTTGCTAGTTTATAATTAAACCACTAATTAATTCTTGGTTTATTTGTTTATGGCAATATGACTTATGGGCAATCTGCCAAGGGGAATGCCTCCAGGGACTTCTATGGGAAACTTGCCCCTTTTAAGTGTTACTAACATGAAGAATATTTAGTTAATTATTAATATAATTCATAGAATGCATTACTTCATGTTAATTTATATATTAATTAAAAGAGGGTTTTAGCTTTTTTATTATTTTTTTTAATTTAACCATTCATTTTCTTATTTAACATTGAGGAACATGAGCAAAGTCTAGATAAGTGTTTCTCAACGGGGGCGATATCGCCCACATTTGGGCGTTTTTCCATGTTCAGGGGGCGATTAGTAACAATTTATATTTTGAGGGCGAAAAACAATTTTCTGGGCGATATAGTAAAACATTATATTAAGAATAATTAGATTAATTATTGTACGATATAACGAATAAAATAACAAATAATATTATACTAGTCTATTTGATGCAGTACGAATTTGGCGTTAGCCTTGTCCCTCGGCATCGGAATTTTGTAGTGAAGGGGCGATACTACGTAATGGTTTTATTGAAGGGAGCGACGATTCGTTAGAGGTTGAGAAACACTGGTCTAGATGTTGAGATCTGCTATGTTTGATATCTAGGCAGCCAACTGAAATAGAAGTTATTCTAGTTCAAGGTGATGAAACTACACAGCCAAGAAAATGGAGAAGAAAAAGCCTTACCAGAACATGCATTATGACAACAATGGTTGAAGAAGTTGTTGCTTCTCGAGAAACAAATTCTTGAAATCGCAGAGGCTCTAGAATAGATTGGAATTGAAACCATTCAAACATTTTGGCAAGCTGTTGATTTAGACTTTGCATTGGATTTTGGATGAGATTGAGTCATTAGTCATTCCTTTAGCTACGAATGCAAGATTGTCTTCTCAAAATAGCCCTTGACCCAAACATTCAACCAACTTATTTTGAACTTGGACCACTGTCATATGTACTGTACCCAAGTTGTTTGGCTTTACTCTTTGAATACAAAAAGTTGATAGAAGAAACAACTTTCATTTTAGTGACTGTTGCCATAATGGAAAAGTAAAGTTGTATTCTACCCATTCTCATGAGGTTCTTGACAACATTCTGTGTGGAAAAAACTCAACTACTCAAGAATATGTAAATACATCCAAAGGTACAACAGTGTGTTGTCAGTTGCTTCCTTCATTGCCAAAGACACCATAGTTCCAGCAGGCCATAGACAATGCATGTTTAAGATCAATGAGCAGCCTCGTTACAAATATGGTCTTTTACATCCTGACAGACCTGAAGAATAAGTATATGATCAGTTTTACATTATAGACACTGAACAAGCAAAAGACATCAGAATGTCTAGAAATGCAACTTGCAATCCAGAGCTAATACTGCATGACATGATTGCTGAGGTGAATCTCTAGATGCTGTTACAGAATGATGATAGAGGTTGAGCAAACCATGATTGAGGGCTCAATCATATATGTATACAAGAAATGCTGTGTCAAGGTGATCTCTAGAAATCTGTAGCTCACAAGTTAGACAACTCTAACATTTGATGAAATGAGGTGTCAAGCCATTTTGTGTCCAAAGAATTTTCACTGTACATATATAAATGATAAAATTATTGCCACCTGAAAGAAGATAAAACATATTTGAACTTATACAGTTGAGACTCAGCACTACGTAATTTATTTACATAACTAAATCATAACATAACATTTTGACAATAAAATTTTGTCAGATAACTGTCAACTTTCACACCTGTGAGTTAATTGTTAAGTTCTCAGTAGCAACACTTTCTCATAACCTCCTGACCTATTGTCTCAATTTCATCAGTTGGAAATATCAAGGAACTACAAGTTTAGTCAGTCATTGCCCGTTCCTCTTGGATTAAAGTCTCCAACAAATTTTCTGTGCCTGTGCCAAATTTTCCTCGATCTGATTTCACCCTCGACCAATAGTACCAGTGAGGGTGAGAACAAACCTTTCCCCAATTATCGTGACCCAGACTTTCCTGATTTGGAACTTTCCACAAACCTAGAATAATAATGGGACTGCTAGTCTTGACAAAAATCGCAACAAATCTATCTTCACCTCGTGGACATCCCCTACTTCAGGTATTTATCAACTCGCGAACCATTGTAAACGCTCTCTCTCAAGAACTGCAAAAATAGCTAGCCATATTTTTAGTTTGATTCATTATAACTTGTTAACAATAAAATGTATAAATTTTCTCCTTCTACGGTTAAGCAACTTCATTTTTCCCATCATCCTGGCATTTGCCATAACAATGAACAAAAGTCAAGGACAGACTTTGTAAAGTTGGTATTTATTTATCAGAGCTAGTTTTCGGTCATGGTATACTTTGTGGCCCATTCCTGATCCAGATCATAAAAATCTGTAGCAGTAAAAATTTCACACCCAGATCTCAACAATTTTCCTGCCTAAGGACTCAAAATATTGTGCCTCAAGAATTTCTGAAATAAATTTCAATTAAAATGTCAAACAGTATTTTTACAATTTAAAAAATAAGAAACCAAGTTGTCTTCAAATCCATCATATCCAATCACCAGGAATAAAACAGCCTTCCTTTGCAGATACGACTCTTTGTTAGAGGCTATGCCTCTGCAAAATTATCATCAGTGAATGTTTTAACTGTTTTACATAATTTTACAGAGGCATAACCTCTAACAAAAGGTTGTCTCTTCAAATGAAGACTGTTTTATTCTTGGCAATTGGACATGGAAGAATTGAAGACAACTTGATTTGCTATATATTTTTTTTAATCCTGAAATAAACTTGAATGTCTGACTGTTGGTAGGTCAGAGTTTTATTTGCAATGTGATTGGCATGAGGTAGGCCACCAGTACCATCACTATTAATCCAAAACCCCTGCAAATTGAAGTTGGTTGGTCTTAAGAATTCTAAATTGCTCTCTTGGGATCCAGATGCAAAATTAAAGGAAGCCTCATAGCACTGGGAACAGACAGATGTGAATCAGTAGTAATTCAAACACAAATTATTATTGCATTTACTTTCAGGCACTTGGCAATTTTTATCATCAAATTTTATTTAGTTGAATTGTTGTTGTTTTGTTGACCCTTATCCATTTTTTGATAATTGTTGCCGTTTCAGCTTCGGAATTCTTATTCTGGTATTTTGAAACCATGCTAGTAGTTATCAGTAGTAATTCAAACACAAATTATTATTGCAAAATACCAGAATAAGAATTCCGAAGCTGAAACGGCAACAATCATCAAAAAATGGATAAGGGACAACAAAACAACAACAATTCAACTAAATAAAATTTGATGATAAAAATTGCCACGTGCCTGAAAGTAAATTCAATAATAATTTGTGTTTGAATTACTACTAATAACTACTAGCACGGTTTCAAAATACCAGATGTGAATCATTTATAGATGAACCCAGAAAAGAATTTGCTATACTGATGATTTTTGTGTAGAATGACAATCAGTGAACCATCAATTTTTATGAGTTCCTGCTAGTAAGAATTATGATTTAAAACAGTTCAACTGTATTATTTCATTAATCTCTAATCAATCAGTTTTAATATATTTATATTAGGATATTATTAAGAAGAATTTATTTTGGGAAAATTAATAGCTTTTTCATATTTTTAAAATTGTTACATTAAAGAGCAAATTTTTATATGATTATTCTGTTTTGTAAAGTTCAAACATCTGATAGTGAAATCTTATTTATCATTACACAATACTGTAGTTTACTTATTACAAGCATTGAAAAATAACAAAGATTAATTTAAAAAATTTTTTTTAAATAAACAGAAAGTCTGGCTATCATTTAAATCCACTCTTTCATAAAATTAAAACATCAATTTGATTCATCAGAATTCTTTACATTTTATTTTAAAACTTTTTAAAATATTTTGATAAATTTGATAATCTGCTTTAGATAATAATTTTGTATTCAACTTGTGAAAATGATTTACTGCCAAATTCTTTAACATGATAAAAATAATTTTGAAGTTAAAAATTATTATAAATTATTTTTTTGAAAACGGAGTGGAAGTTGATCCTCTAGAAGCAAAATAGCTGGTAATATCCAATCTGGGAACATTATCCATATAATTCTTGAAAGCAGAATACAACTCTGAAGCTCTATTAAGTTCTTCTTGCTGTTTATTTTGTAATTCAGTTTCTTTTTTTTGTAATATATCCTTCAGAGTATTAATTTGATAATCTTTATTAGCAATATTTTCTGAATATTGGTTTTGAAGATCTGAAATATATAAATAATTAGAATAGAAAAAAAATGTAAGAAAGTTATTAAGAAACACTTACTATTGAGGGTGGTTTCTAATTCCAAAACTTTACTCTGTAAATTATTATTGTTATCTTTTTCTTTCATTAACTCATTATGTTTATCTCGGTTTTCTGTTTCTGAAGTAGTAACTATATTTCTTAATTCACTTTCTTTAGAAGCTAATTGCTATAAAACAAAAGCAATATAGAAATATGTTTTATATATTATTGAAATTCTTAAATCATCAATAAGGCATTTAATAATTGAGGCTAAGTATTAGCAAAATCTCTTCCACACAGAATTGCCACTAAGCCAAAAGTATAAAAAATGAGGGCTGTGACTGTCACTTTGACTCCACTGTATATCAAAACAATGTCCCACAGAAAAAAAAGGGCATTGCTTGCACCTAATAGAGAATGGGTGCCAAAAACAAACAAGCAGTTGACAAGTGAATGCAAGGATTGCCTCTTCTGGACCCAGCAGATGCAAAGATTGTCCCTTTCTTTCTGGCAAGTGCAAGGATCACATCTCCATTGCCAACAAGTGTATGGATTGTCTTCTTATGTTAAGAACAACTATTTTTTTCCTGATCACACACTCACTCACTCTTCCCTTCTCAATCTCACACATACCTGAGTGCATAACATGTTTGAATGTGTAAGAGTGCCCTTACACATTCAAACACACGTCAACACTCAAGTTAGATAAAGTGAAAGATAATTTATATATACTAATAGAAATTAAAAAAACCAATGCTCTGCTTCAATTCTATTGCAATATGATAAAGTTGTGTCCTGTCCCTAGTTTATAAAATACATTAAAATTATATTTTAACCTCTTTCAGTTGACTGACTATTTTATGTAGATTTTCTTTTTCTATTTCTAAGTGCTCTTTCACAGACTGTAACTGTGTAATGTCAAATTCCTTCTGGGAGATCACTTTCTACGAAAAATAAATTTTATTTTTAATTATAGTGATTGTTCAATATTAGAATGAATTTATATAAACTCAGGATTACAGTACAATTAAAGTAAAAGATACAGTACAGTAGTAAACAATAAAAAAATATCAATTCTACAAACTATTTTTTTCCAGATGCTTAATATATCTTGGTTTAAGTTAATTGTGTATGAAGTACATTTCTGAAATGTTACTCACTATTTGATCATCATTTTCTTTTTGTAATGTATGGACTTTTTCTGAGAGCTGAGAGCACTGTGCTTCCTAATAATAATTCAAAACAATTATTAGTTTTTATTATTTTTCAAGTAATTTAATTATAAAATTAAATAAAATTTATAACTTGCCATTTCTTCATGAAACTTTAATCTTTGTTGCTGAAGTAGTTCTTCAGTCTTAGTTCTCTCTTCTACAAGTTTTCCATTAAGATGCATTATTTCCTACAATTTAATAACAGAATATTTTATGATTTTACTAATGTTTTATGTAATATATTTTTTTCTTATTAATTATCAGAATTTTTAACATTTTTTTGCAATTTATTTATTAATAATAAATACTGTATTTGAAGATAAATTTATAATTGAAAAATATTTCTTTATAGTGATGTAAAATAGTGATTATGCTAAAATATTGACTCCAGAAATAATCGTGTTCAAATCTATCTCTAGCCAATTGTTCTGAATCTACACAAAATTATTTCTAAATTATTAGTTAATTTCTCATTAAATTTATTGACAGATAAATATACTCATACTCTAAATTTTAACAAAAAAAGCTTGTTTTGTCATTGGTTAGTAAAAACAAAGAAAAAGGATAGCTATAAAATTAAATTTGAGTTATTTTTGGATTATTTTGTAAAAATATAACTTATAAAAAAGTCTCTTCATTTTTATATATCACTTTAAAATCAAACATTATTAAATTTATTTCTACTTTTATTTTATTCTTATATTGTAAAATAGAAATAATTTGATTTTAAAACAGTATAAGAATTTATGTTATTTTTCAGGCAATAGAGCAATATTTGAAAAATATTATTTTGGGTTCTTCTCTCATTTTTCATTTTCCTAAAGCTTTTAACATCTATTATGAAACAGTAAGTGATATTAGTTGAAAGGAGATGAATTTATTCTAAAATTCATTTTATGAATTCCAATATACAGTAGACTCTTGTTAATCTGGCATTACTTGTACAGAGAGGTGTATGATTACTTGAGAGTAAATGGCAACGAATGATGATAGTCCTTCAATATTGATTCATTTTGGAGAGACGGGCAAATAATACAATACTCTGACATGCAATACTGTATACAGAAATGAAACACAAGTAAACAGGAAAACAAGATGTGGACATGGCTAACATTTTCATGAAATTGGAAGCACATAATTGATCACACTGGAGGCTATGCTGGATAATTGAGAGGCCAGATTATTGAGGCCATTGATTTTTATGTAAAAATTGAAAAAAATTTAAAAATTTATGTTTAAATCACTATTATCTATTTTCAGGAGATAAAGTATATTTTAAAATTAAAACATTAATCCAAATAAGTTCAAAGCATATCCAACATAAATTTTCTCTCATATTAATTTAATTATCTCTCTCAAATATGATAATGATGATTGATAAAATTTTTAAGTTTCTTTAAAGTAGTATTTTATGCACTGGATTATAAGATTTAGTTAATTAGAATTTAGAATTAATGAATTAACTGCATTAAATATATATATGTTTTAATTATTATTTTATAAATTAAATCATTGTAGATTCTAGAATGTTAAATTTGCTATAGTTAGTCAATTTGGACAGATTCTATATAATCATTCTACAAGGAAGATTCAAAAAGTAAGTTACATTTCTCCCCAAAGACGGCAGCATTACACAATAAGAGCAAAGCTTGCACAGAAGAGAGTTGAGGTCCATAGCTTCTTGTACAAAAGGCATTGTCTTCTTGTACAGTGGCATTTTCATTTGAGTAACAGCAAGCATTGCTGCATAGTACAAGAACAAAATGGCATGTCAGCTGGAAACTTATTTCAATGTTGAAGTACGCAGAACAGTATGTTTTTTTGTGGGCAAAACGTCACACATATTGTGAAAGGTATGTCTCACATACCTTTCATTGTGAAATATCGACTGTGATGGGCCACATGCAATGTCATGTCCAGCCATAATGAAATGGTGCAGCAGTTCAAAGACTTGACTGATGCAGAAAGGCAAGGAAGGCCAACAACAGTGAGCACAACAGACATGGTGCAGCAGGCAAAAGACATGATTCTCATATTGACCATTGCACAAATTGCACAGGATTTGAGAATATCCATTGGCAGTGCTCATTCCATCATCTGTCACCAATTGGATTATCATAAGTTGTGTTCATGATGGGTTCCTTGCTCATTGACTTCTGAACACAAAGGTGCAAGGTTTGTGGCTTCTCTGGACTTCCTTAAATGTTATGATGTAGAAGGCAATGATTTTCTAAGCTGCATCATTATGGGTGATGAGACATGAATGCATCATTTCATCCCAGAAATGAAGCAAGCATTGATGGCATGGAGACACACATTGTCACCTGTGAGAACAAAATGTAAAGTTGTCCTATCAGCAGATGAGGTCACGGCCACTGTCTTTTTTGACTGTGAAACAGTTGTTTACACCAAGTTTGAGAGGAAGGACACAACCATTAATGCTAATTTGTACTGGGAAACACTGAGGGCTTAGCACAAAGCTGTGAAAAACAAGAGGCCTTGAAAGTTAAGCAAAAGCATTGTCTTCTTGTACAATAATGCAACACCTCAGGCTTTGCTTTTCAGTTTTGGATGGGAGGTATGGCAGCATCCAGCCTACAGTTCCAATCTGGTGCCTTGTGATTTTCATGTGTTCAGAAAGCTAAAACAAGATATGGATGGATGTCAATTTGCCAATAATGACCAGATTCAGACAGTTCTCTGCTGGCTCCATGAACAAGGAGCAACTTTCTATTGTTAGGGCATCAACAATTAGTACAACATTCTAACAAATGTTTACAGCAACTGGGTGATTATATAGAAAAATAGTGCGGTGTATGTGTATGGTAATTATTGTATGGTAATGCTTTTCTCAATAAAGTATTCCTGACATACACTTACTTATTGAATGTTCCTCGTAATTAGTAGATCTGTAATATTTTGTATAAAATTATGATATTTTAAACTGTGAAAGTTACTCAACAAATACGATCCTTATTTATTAATTATTGTACTTTGTTACTTCCATTAATTATATTAGCATATATTTATTAACTAGTAAGCTAAATGGATTATGTACAGTATATGATACTCATAAGTTGGTTTTAAATTAATAATTTAAAAATTAATCTGTAAGAAATTTTTCCAGTTTTCAAACACATAAAAACAAATTTTGTACTAAAGTTATTAAGATTTTACTTTTTCAAGTTGTGTTCTTTGCATTTCAAGTCGCTGCAAATTTTCATTTAGTTTCTGTTCTATTTCTTCTATGCCTTTTTTTGCATTTGCAATCTGACCAAAAAAAAAGTATTAAAAAAAATTTAATCAAAAAATAATTTAGATTAAATATTTACTTCATCTTGTTTTGATTGTTCTACTTCCTTAATTGCTTCATTTTGTTCTTGTTTAATTGCATTTATTTCCTCTGAAAACATTTTAATATTTATAAGCATTTGATTTATTTAGAAATATAATTCAAGATGAAATATCTGCATAATTTTAGCTGAAACAATAAAATTGTTTAAAATTATTGAAATACCAGCATGGATAACTTCTGAATGTTTTAGCTGTATTTCTAAAGATGCAATAGAAGTTTGTAATTTCTCTATTTTTGATGTGTGAATCTCATGAGTCTTCAAAGCACATTCTAACTAGTAAAAAAAATTTTTATTTAATAATTTCATTGTTGTAAATTATATATAATATGATAGAAAATTCAAAAAATAATTACTTGAAGTTCTAAAGATCGCTTCTCTTCTTTTATAGCATCTATTTCAGCAACAATGTTTGCTTCAGCATCCAATCTGTCCTAAATTATAAATAAATATTATATCCTTAACCTATCCTTAATCCTTTCCTTAATTCTATCCTTAACCTTTTTCTATAAATATTAGATTTACAAAAAATGCTTCTAGTTTGAAATATTTTTTTAAAAGATGAATGAATATTCTAAAAATATTTTAAGCTTAATTGAGAATATACTAATATTAATTATTAATAATTGTATAACTTAAACCAACTTTATTTTCTTTAATGAGAAGTTTTTGTTGTTGGTTCTTTAATTCTTCATTTTCTGCTTTATACTGTGCTAAAAGTTTGTTTGCTTCTTTATTTTGCTCATGAATAACTTCTAGATCATTTTGTAATTTATTAACTCTATGAATTTCATCAAATTTTAAATAAATATAAAACATCTTTCATTTTATTGTATTGTACAAAAACATCTTAAAGCATTTTATATAATACCTTTCTACCATTGCATCAAAAGCAATTTTCTTTTCCTTTAATTCATTTGCTAAATCCTTAATGTTTCCTATTTTGTCTCCACTTGATGTGATTCATATCAAATAAATATTTTAAAATAATTTTTTAATATAGTTTTAATATCTTATATTTACAATTAAGATAGCTTATTATTTCAATTTTTAAAGTTCTATTATTAACAAATATGTAAACTTTTGATGAAATTGTTTGTTAATAATTGAATATTTATGTTAGATCTACCAATGTTAAATATATCAATAGCTAAGTTTAACAGCAAGTTAATGATTTTCATTATTGATATAAATACATTTAACTTGATATGTTGATAAGTTGACTAGCTATTGATATGTTTGACATTGATAGATCTAATATAAATATTCAATTATTAGTACACAATTTCACATGTTTGTTAATAATAAAATGTTAAAAATTGAAATAAACTAGCAGATGTTTACATTTTAAAAAAATTTTCTAGAATATTATTAATTGAAAATGTAAAAGTTTATATAAAAATCAAACTTTTAAAAATGAATATTAAACATAGCAGATTTTTTCTCTAAAATGTTTAATTTTAAATTTAGTGTAAAAAATTGTAAATTTTTTTCTATCTAAAACTAAAAGAAATTACCTTTCCTGAAAAAGTTCTTGTGTATAACTAGGAAGGGTTTGCTGAAATATTTAAAATTACATATTATTTATTGTGGAATATAATAATATATTATGTTAAATGAAAATGAGAATACCTGCTCTAATTGATAATCTTTTGTAGTTTGCATCTCATTAGTAATTTGTTTAGTTCTTGTAATCTGTTCCTCTTGCAATAACTGCATAGTGCAATTATTGTTAAGGGCAGCAGCTATTCAAAAGCATTATATTAATAACATTAATAACTTGAGTTTATATTTTATAAAAGCAAACTGTAAGATGCTCTATGCATAAATTTATTGAACTAAATCAAAATAAAAAATGAAATCTTAAAAAATATTATATAAATTTTCTGAAATAATACAGTAAGATTAAAAATATGTTTATGAGAAGCAAACTGAAACTTTTGAATACAATAAATAAATTTAAAAAAAAGGGCAAAAATAACATAGGCTTAACTGCACAAATTTAAATTTTATATCTCAAGAACAGTTATTGCATAAATAAATATACAATATAAAAAGTATAATGAGAAAAGTTAAAGAATTTATCCCAATTTTATTTCTTGATTAAAAAATCTTAATTATTACCTATCAACATACAAGTACAGTATTCTTTCTCTCATCAGAAATTTTTCACTATTACATATATACATATTTTTGTATACATGGAGGGCACTTTTTTAGAATTTATTTTGAACTTGGAGTAATTTCTTTATTTTTTTACTCCTCACAAAAAATGATATCATTAAGTCCCAAATGCATTTTTACATTTCAAAAAATTTACTATTCATCAGCATTTATAATTAACTGATAAGTTAATTATAAATATATTGGTTATGTGCCGGATCGTTAAAAATGTATATCCACGGATATGGATACAGATATGGATCATTAGTGTCTAGATCCACAGATACGGATCTCAACTTGTATTCAGTTGGCGCCAGTGCATGTGACCTTGGACCGATAGTTGACGCCTTGTGTTAGTAACGTGACATGTTTTGACTTGCACTGCGCGTGTTTTTGTTTATAGTTTAGTGTGACACAGGATAGTGTAGATTACGTTTGTATTTTTGGAGAGTGTTGAGTTAAATTAAAATATATTTAAAATAAAAACAATGTTGACAAAAAAGTTTAGTAGTTTAATATGGAAAAATTTATGATAGTAAATGAATTTTGCATGATAAAATTTTTGCAATATGAATGTGCCAAATATGTGATTTTAAGAAATAAAAAGTGACTTGAATTGAAGTTATTAGTATTTTATTGCTACCTATCTTTAAAATTTCATATAAGTAATGAAATTCATTAAGATAAAAGATCCGTTAAAGATCCGCTAAAAAGTAACGGATACGGATCTTTTTTCCCTACGGNAATGAGTTACTGCCAAATTCTTTAACATGATAAAAATAATTTTGAAGTTAAAAATTATTATAAATTATTTTTTTGAAAACGGAGTGGAAGTTGATCCTCTAGAAGCAAAATAGCTGGTAATATCCAATCTGGGAACATTATCCATATAATTCTTGAAAGCAGAATACAACTCTGAAGCTCTATTAAGTTCTTCTTGCTGTTTATTTTGTAATTCAGTTTCTTTTTTTTGTAATATATCCTTCAGAGTATTAATTTGATAATCTTTATTAGCAATATTTTCTGAATATTGGTTTTGAAGATCTGAAATATATAAATAATTAGAATAGAAAAAAAATGTAAGAAAGTTATTAAGAAACACTTACTATTGAGGGTGGTTTCTAATTCCAAAACTTTACTCTGTAAATTATTATTGTTATCTTTTTCTTTCATTAACTCATTATGTTTATCTCGGTTTTCTGTTTCTGAAGTAGTAACTATATTTCTTAATTCACTTTCTTTAGAAGCTAATTGCTATAAAACAAAAGCAATATAGAAATATGTTTTATATATTATTGAAATTCTTAAATCATCAATAAGGCATTTAATAATTGAGGCTAAGTATTAGCAAAATCTCTTCCACACAGAATTGCCACTAAGCCAAAAGTATAAAAAATGAGGGCTGTGACTGTCACTTTGACTCCACTGTATATCAAAACAATGTCCCACAGAAAAAAAAGGGCATTGCTTGCACCTAATAGAGAATGGGTGCCAAAAACAAACAAGCAGTTGACAAGTGAATGCAAGGATTGCCTCTTCTGGACCCAGCAGATGCAAAGATTGTCCCTTTCTTTCTGGCAAGTGCAAGGATCACATCTCCATTGCCAACAAGTGTATGGATTGTCTTCTTATGTGAAGAACAACTATTTTTTTCCTGATCACACACTCACTCACTCTTCCCTTCTCAATCTCACACATACCTGAGTGCATGACATGTTTGAATGTGTAAGAGTGCCCTTACACATTCAAACACACGTCAACACTCAAGTTAGATAAAGTGAAAGATAATTTATATATACTAATAGAAATTAAAAAAACCAATGCTCTGCTTCAATTCTATTGCAATATGATAAAGTTGTGTCCTGTCCCTAGTTTATAAAATACATTAAAATTATATTTTAACCTCTTTCAGTTGACTGACTATTTTATGTAGATTTTCTTTTTCTATTTCTAAGTGCTCTTTCACAGACTGTAACTGTGTAATGTCAAATTCCTTCTGGGAGATCACTTTCTACGAAAAATAAATTTTATTTTTAATTATAGTGATTGTTCAATATTAGAATGAATTTATATAAACTCAGGATTACAGTACAATTAAAGTAAAAGATACAGTACAGTAGTAAACAATAAAAAAATATCAATTCTACAAACTATTTTTTTCCAGATGCTTAATATATCTTGGTTTAAGTTAATTGTGTATGAAGTACATTTCTGAAATGTTACTCACTATTTGATCATCATTTTCTTTTTGTAATGTATGGACTTTTTCTGAGAGCTGAGAGCACTGTGCTTCCTAATAATAATTCAAAACAATTATTAGTTTTTATTATTTTTCAAGTAATTTAATTATAAAATTAAATAAAATTTATAACTTGCCATTTCTTCATGAAACTTTAATCTTTGTTGCTGAAGTAGTTCTTCAGTCTTAGTTCTCTCTTCTACAAGTTTTCCATTAAGATGCATTATTTCCTACAATTTAATAACAGAATATTTTATGATTTTACTAATGTTTTATGTAATATATTTTTTTCTTATTAATTATCAGAATTTTTAACATTTTTTTGCAATTTATTTATTAATAATAAATACTGTATTTGAAGATAAATTTATAATTGAAAAATATTTCTTTATAGTGATGTAAAATAGTGATTATGCTAAAATATTGACTCCAGAAATAATCGTGTTCAAATCTATCTCTAGCCAATTGTTCTGAATCTACACAAAATTATTTCTAAATTATTAGTTAATTTCTCATTAAATTTATTGACAGATAAATATACTCATACTCTAAATTTTAACAAAAAAAGCTTGTTTTGTCATTGGTTAGTAAAAACAAAGAAAAAGGATAGCTATAAAATTAAATTTGAGTTATTTTTGGATTATTTTGTAAAAATATAACTTATAAAAAAGTCTCTTCATTTTTATATATCACTTTAAAATCAAACATTATTAAATTTATTTCTACTTTTATTTTATTCTTATATTGTAAAATAGAAATAATTTGATTTTAAAACAGTATAAGAATTTATGTTATTTTTCAGGCAATAGAGCAATATTTGAAAAATATTATTTTGGGTTCTTCTCTCATTTTTCATTTTCCTAAAGCTTTTAACATCTATTATGAAACAGTAAGTGATATTAGTTGAAAGGAGATGAATTTATTCTAAAATTCATTTTATGAATTCCAATATACAGTAGACTCTTGTTAATCTGGCATTACTTGTACAGAGAGGTGTATGATTACTTGAGAGTAAATGGCAACGAATGATGATAGTCCTTCAATATTGATTCATTTTGGAGAGACGGGCAAATAATACAATACTCTGACATGCAATACTGTATACAGAAATGAAACACAAGTAAACAGGAAAACAAGATGTGGACATGGCTAACATTTTCATGAAATTGGAAGCACATAATTGATCACACTGGAGGCTATGCTGGATAATTGAGAGGCCAGATTATTGAGGCCATTGATTTTTATGTAAAAATTGAAAAAAATTTAAAAATTTATGTTTAAATCACTATTATCTATTTTCAGGAGATAAAGTATATTTTAAAATTAAAACATTAATCCAAATAAGTTCAAAGCATATCCAACATAAATTTTCTCTCATATTAATTTAATTATCTCTCTCAAATATGATAATGATGATTGATAAAATTTTTAAGTTTCTTTAAAGTAGTATTTTATGCACTGGATTATAAGATTTAGTTAATTAGAATTTAGAATTAATGAATTAACTGCATTAAATATATATATGTTTTAATTATTATTTTATAAATTAAATCATTGTAGATTCTAGAATGTTAAATTTGCTATAGTTAGTCAATTTGGACAGATTCTATATAATCATTCTACAAGGAAGATTCAAAAAGTAAGTTACATTTCTCCCCAAAGACGGCAGCATTACACAATAAGAGCAAAGCTTGCACAGAAGAGAGTTGAGGTCCATAGCTTCTTGTACAAAAGGCATTGTCTTCTTGTACAGTGGCATTTTCATTTGAGTAACAGCAAGCATTGCTGCATAGTACAAGAACAAAATGGCATGTCAGCTGGAAACTTATTTCAATGTTGAAGTACGCAGAACAGTATGTTTTTTTGTGGGCAAAACGTCACACATATTGTGAAAGGTATGTCTCACATACCTTTCATTGTGAAATATCGACTGTGATGGGCCACATGCAATGTCATGTCCAGCCATAATGAAATGGTGCAGCAGTTCAAAGACTTGACTGATGCAGAAAGGCAAGGAAGGCCAACAACAGTGAGCACAACAGACATGGTGCAGCAGGCAAAAGACATGATTCTCATATTGACCATTGCACAAATTGCACAGGATTTGAGAATATCCATTGGCAGTGCTCATTCCATCATCTGTCACCAATTGGATTATCATAAGTTGTGTTCATGATGGGTTCCTTGCTCATTGACTTCTGAACACAAAGGTGCAAGGTTTGTGGCTTCTCTGGACTTCCTTAAATGTTATGATGTAGAAGGCAATGATTTTCTAAGCTGCATCATTATGGGTGATGAGACATGAATGCATCATTTCATTCCAGAAATGAAGCAAGCATTGATGGCATGGAGACACACATTGTCACCTGTGAGAACAAAATGTAAAGTTGTCCTATCAGCAGATGAGGTCACGGCCACTGTCTTTTTTGACTGTGAAACAGTTGTTTACACCAAGTTTGAGAGGAAGGACACAACCATTAATGCTAATTTGTACTGGGAAACACTGAGGGCTTAGCACAAAGCTGTGAAAAACAAGAGGCCTTGAAAGTTAAGCAAAAGCATTGTCTTCTTGTACAATGCAACACCTCAGGCTTTGCTTTTCAGTTTTGGATGGGAGGTATGGCAGCATCCAGCCTACAGTTCCAATCTGGTGCCTTGTGATTTTCATGTGTTCAGAAAGCTAAAACAAGATATGGATGGATGTCAATTTGCCAATAATGACCAGATTCAGACAGTTCTCTGCTGGCTCCATGAACAAGGAGCAACTTTCTATTGTTAGGGCATCAACAATTAGTACAACATTCTAACAAATGTTTACAGCAACTGGGTGATTATATAGAAAAATAGTGCGGTGTATGTGTATGGTAATTATTGTATGGTAATGCTTTTCTCAATAAAGTATTCCTGACATACACTTACTTATTGAATGTTCCTCGTAATTAGTAGATCTGTAATATTTTGTATAAAATTATGATATTTTAAACTGTGAAAGTTACTCAACAAATACGATCCTTATTTATTAATTATTGTACTTTGTTACTTCCATTAATTATATTAGCATATATTTATTAACTAGTAAGCTAAATGGATTATGTACAGTATATGATACTCATAAGTTGGTTTTAAATTAATAATTTAAAAATTAATCTGTAAGAAATTTTTCCAGTTTTCAAACACATAAAAACAAATTTTGTACTAAAGTTATTAAGATTTTACTTTTTCAAGTTGTGTTCTTTGCATTTCAAGTCGCTGCAAATTTTCATTTAGTTTCTGTTCTATTTCTTCTATGCCTTTTTTTGCATTTGCAATCTGACCAAAAAAAAAGTATTAAAAAAAATTTTATCAAAAAATAATTTAGATTAAATATTTACTTCATCTTGTTTTGATTGTTCTACTTCCTTAATTGCTTCATTTTGTTCTTGTTTAATTGCATTTATTTCCTCTGAAAACATTTTAATATTTATAAGCATTTGATTTATTTAGAAATATAATTCAAGATGAAATATCTGCATAATTTTAGCTGAAACAATAAAATTGTTTAAAATTATTGAAATACCAGCATGGATAACTTCTGAATGTTTTAGCTGTATTTCTAAAGATGCAATAGAAGTTTGTAATTTCTCTATTTTTGATGTGTGAATCTCATGAGTCTTCAAAGCACATTCTAACTAGTAAAAAAAATTTTTATTTAATAATTTCATTGTTGTAAATTATATATAATATGATAGAAAATTCAAAAAATAATTACTTGAAGTTCTAAAGATCGCTTCTCTTCTTTTATAGCATCTATTTCAGCAACAATGTTTGCTTCAGCATCCAATCTGTCCTAAATTATAAATAAATATTATATCCTTAACCTATCCTTAATCCTTTCCTTAATTCTATCCTTAACCTTTTTCTATAAATATTAGATTTACAAAAAATGCTTCTAGTTTGAAATATTTTTTTAAAAGATGAATGAATATTCTAAAAATATTTTAAGCTTAATTGAGAATATACTAATATTAATTATTAATAATTGTATAACTTAAACCAACTTTATTTTCTTTAATGAGAAGTTTTTGTTGTTGGTTCTTTAATTCTTCATTTTCTGCTTTATACTGTGCTAAAAGTTTGTTTGCTTCTTTATTTTGCTCATGAATAACTTCTAGATCATTTTGTAATTTATTAACTCTATGAATTTCATCAAATTTTAAATAAATATAAAACATCTTTCATTTTATTGTATTGTACAAAAACATCTTAAAGCATTTTATATAATACCTTTCTACCATTGCATCAAAAGCAATTTTCTTTTCCTTTAATTCATTTGCTAAATCCTTAATGTTTCCTATTTTGTCTCCACTTGATGTGATTCATATCAAATAAATATTTTAAAATAATTTTTTAATATAGTTTTAATATCTTATATTTACAATTAAGATAGCTTATTATTTCAATTTTTAAAGTTCTATTATTAACAAATATGTAAACTTTTGATGAAATTGTTTGTTAATAATTGAATATTTATGTTAGATCTACCAATGTTAAATATATCAATAGCTAAGTTTAACAGCAAGTTAATGATTTTCATTATTGATATAAATACATTTAACTTGATATGTTGATAAGTTGACTAGCTATTGATATGTTTGACATTGATAGATCTAATATAAATATTCAATTATTAGTACACAATTTCACATGTTTGTTAATAATAAAATGTTAAAAATTGAAATAAACTAGCAGATGTTTACATTTTAAAAAAATTTTCTAGAATATTATTAATTGAAAATGTAAAAGTTTATATAAAAATCAAACTTTTAAAAATGAATATTAAACATAGCAGATTTTTTCTCTAAAATGTTTAATTTTAAATTTAGTGTAAAAAATTGTAAATTTTTTTCTATCTAAAACTAAAAGAAATTACCTTTCCTGAAAAAGTTCTTGTGTATAACTAGGAAGGGTTTGCTGAAATATTTAAAATTACATATTATTTATTGTGGAATATAATAATATATTATGTTAAATGAAAATGAGAATACCTGCTCTAATTGATAATCTTTTGTAGTTTGCATCTCATTAGTAATTTGTTTAGTTCTTGTAATCTGTTCCTCTTGCAATAACTGCATAGTGCAATTATTGTTAAGGGCAGCAGCTATTCAAAAGCATTATATTAATAACATTAATAACTTGAGTTTATATTTTATAAAAGCAAACTGTAAGATGCTCTATGCATAAATTTATTGAACTAAATCAAAATAAAAAATGAAATCTTAAAAAATATTATATAAATTTTCTGAAATAATACAGTAAGATTAAAAATATGTTTATGAGAAGCAAACTGAAACTTTTGAATACAATAAATAAATTTAAAAAAAAGGGCAAAAATAACATAGGCTTAACTGCACAAATTTAAATTTTATATCTCAAGAACAGTTATTGCATAAATAAATATACAATATAAAAAGTATAATGAGAAAAGTTAAAGAATTTATCCCAATTTTATTTCTTGATTAAAAAATCTTAATTATTACCTATCAACATACAAGTACAGTATTCTTTCTCTCATCAGAAATTTTTCACTATTACATATATACATATTTTTGTATACATGGAGGGCACTTTTTTAGAATTTATTTTGAACTTGGAGTAATTTCTTTATTTTTTTACTCCTCACAAAAAATGATATCATTAAGTCCCAAATGCATTTTTACATTTCAAAAAATTTACTATTCATCAGCATTTATAATTAACTGATAAGTTAATTATAAATATATTGGTTATGTGCCGGATCGTTAAAAATGTATATCCACGGATATGGATACAGATATGGATCATTAGTGTCTAGATCCACAGATACGGATCTCAACTTGTATTCAGTTGGCGCCAGTGCATGTGACCTTGGACCGATAGTTGACGCCTTGTGTTAGTAACGTGACATGTTTTGACTTGCACTGCGCGTGTTTTTGTTTATAGTTTAGTGTGACACAGGATAGTGTAGATTACGTTTGTATTTTTGGAGAGTGTTGAGTTAAATTAAAATATATTTAAAATAAAAACAATGTTGACAAAAAAGTTTAGTAGTGTGGTGTTTCGTTGCGACAAGTACAATGTCCCGCGAGCGGAGAAGTACGAAATAAATACACGTTGGATGTCTTTAACACAAAGATATTTATTGTCGCTTCGAACAGGTTCGTTTTTCTTCAGATCCCAACAATACAATGATCTCTGTACGTACATGCGTTAAAATTCGATCTAACAAACAGCGGATTAATTGAGAGTTACAACTATACGCGAGGCAAAAACTTATAACTAATTCTTACACTACTTACAACTAAAGAGGGAAGAAGAGAGTAGAAAGATAATAAAATATAAGAGGGAGATGGAAATACCCGGGATTTTGAGTTCGAAACCTTGGGTGGAACACCACGTGGACCTTTCCGTGGAACGTTGTCTCTCGTCCTTCCTTTATGTCTTTTCGTACGATTCTTTCGATGGCTTCCTCTAAAATTCTATTATAAGAGTTTCTTCCTATCGATTCGCTGGCTCCTCGTAGCTTCTAATTGTTTTACACTCAATCTGACGCTACACCACTTCTCCGTTCTTATTCTACGGACTTCGAGCCCAGACTTCTCCTTTAGCTTCGTAGTCTCCGATCGTCTCACACGCGATCCAGAGCACTACCTTCTCTCGTCAGTCCTCCTCGAGAGTTCCACCTCGACTGCTCTTTCCTTT